GGATAGGGTTAAGTGGTGGCACAGAGTTCCCCACGTATGGATACGATAGTAAAGCACGACGTATGGATAGGGTTAAGTGGTGGCACAGAGTTCCCCACGTATGGATATGATAGTAAAGCACGACGTATGGATAGGGTTAAGTGGTGGCACAGAGTTCCCCACGTATGGATATGATAGTAAAGCACGACGTATGGATAGGGTTAAGTAAGGGCAATTCCAGGAGAATTGAAGCTGCTGTGGCATATTATGTAACTTGGAGATGATGACTTGCTGGTGCAAAGAAAAATCTAAACAGAGATGATAAAACCACTCTTTATTTGTTTGTTTGTTTCTTTCTTTCTTTCTTTCTTTTCATTTCTTTCTTTCTTTCTTTCTTGGAGATCGAGCCTTTCTTTCTTTCTTCCTTTTTAAAAAAATTTTGGTTAGAAGCATTTTTCTTCTTGAAAGAAGGAAATAAAAAAAGGAGATAAAACAAAAAATTTTACGCGGCTCAATCACTCTTATGTTAATGTCATGAATTTCCTCAGCAGATCATCACTACATTAGTTATCATTGCAGTTTCATTTTTCAAGGAATGGTCTTAACACTTTTATTTTCAATATTTTTTTTTCTTTATTTTTGAAATTTTTATTAATTAAATGCCCATGGAAATTCGTCCAGTAGAGAGTCACAGTTTGTTTAAAAGAGGTTGTTTTTTTTTGTTTGTTTGTTTGTTTTAGGAGGGGGGGAGGGGGTTCAGTTTAAAAGAAAGCCGTTGACTCAATAAAGATCATTCCCTGCTGAAAATTAAATCGTTCAAATGTTATCCCGATCTTTTTCTGTCACCTTTCCGTACAAGTTCTCGGAGTAACTTCTTCTATCTCCGCTCCCTCTCCCGCCTCTTCGACCCCCGCTCGTCACCTACATGATCGAAATTATGTTGGGAATTTTAGACCTACAACTACACATTTTTTTACAACCCACAGTGCTAAACTTTACAAGTGCACACATTTTTTGACAACCCACTTTGCTAAAACTTTACAATGAAACACTGGTTTACTACCCACTTTGCTTAAATTTTACAACCCACTTTGCTAACACTTTACAATTACACATTTTTTTCTTACAATCCACAACTACAAAACTTTATAATTAAACATTATTTTACAAACCACAGTGCTAAAACTTTACAATTACACATTTTTCACAACTCACTTTGCTAAAACGTTAAAATTACACTTTTTTTAAAACAACCAACAGTGCTAAAACTTTACAATTGCACGTATTTTATTACAACCCATAGTGCTAAAACAACTTTTCAATGAAACACTGGTTTACAACCCATTTTGTTAAAACTCTAAAACTATGCATTTTTTTTCGACCCACGTTGCTCAAACTTTACAATTAAACATTTTTACTACCCACGTTGCTAAAACTTTACAATTACACATTTTTCACAACCCACTTTGCTAGAACGTTACAATTACACATTTTTTAAAAACAACCCACTGTGCTAAAACTTTACAATTTCACATATTTTATTACAACCCTTAGTGCTAAAACTTTACAACCAGACACTGATTTACAACTTACTTTGTTTAAACTTACAACTACACATTTTTTTTACAACCCACAGTGCTAAAACTTTACAACTACACATTATTATTTTTTACAACCCACAGCAACAAGACGTTATAATTACACATATTTATATTATTCTTTTTTTAAAATCCACAATGCTAAAACTTTTCAACCACACTCTTCTTTTTTTACAACCCTCAGTGCTCTCCGGGGAGGAAGATGAACCAGCATTTCTGAGCCCCAGCGGAAACTCGCGCGACTTCATGAACACGACACCGCAGCATCGAAACGCGCTTCCAGCCGCCTCCACCCCAGCCACAGAGAACCTGGCGTTCTACACGGGTTCGAACCCCACTGTGCCACCCCCAGAACGATCGTCCACCCCCACATCCACCCACAACCACCCGACTTACAACGCGGCCATCAGAGACAGAATTCCTATTGACTCGACTGTCTGAATTTCAGTGCTATGTCTCCATGCTTTCTCATTTGTTGGAGTGCAACTTTTCTGGAAATTTCCCGGATTTCCAAAACTATGGGACTCTCCTGACTTTTAATATGTATATATACACATGTATATAGATATTGTATGGCAGTGTATGTTCTTATTTTTGTATGTCAAGTCTAGCACACACACAGTAAAATCAGCAGAACAATTCTTTGTTGTTATGCACGAATTTCGCTATACATGTTTAAATACAAAGATATACACATGTAAAAGAAAAAAGTTGGGACCTGAAAATTTGTTCACAATGTGTGTGTTTTACCATGTGTGTACATTTATTCACTGTGTGTGTGCTTGACTGTAGTTAGAATTTAAAAAATTTTTTTTTCAATAAGTTATGGAAATCCCTCTGCGTCTTGGGTTTTTTTCTAGTTTTTAGAATTTTCAGTAAGAGTTTTACGGCGCTTGCAACACAAATAGGTCATATAAGTGCCGAATATTAGAAGTGCTACTAGAGAATAGCATGTAAAAAAAGGAGGAGAGATGAGGACGATAGATGTTGGAGAGGAAAGAAGGAGCAAACCGCACTGAAGCACCCGCCAACCACTCTGTGGCAGCTTATTCAACTCACTGTATACTGTTCTGTACATAATATACATTTATAGCCTATAATGAAGATTTAGAGGAAGGCGCTGCTGTTTTCCTACGTATACACCATGTGAGTGAGTGGTTTGTGGCTTGGGCTTTGTGAGTTTGTCTGACTTGAAGAGCAGCCTAATTACAGTACATGTATAACACGGATAGCTCGAATTTCTCGAGACTGGCCTCGGTAGTTCGAGGGATATTTTATAAAGATAAAGAAGATGAAAAAAGAAAAAACGGACCGCAGGCACATATGACGGATGCAGAATTTCGAGTCTTCTGTGTTCGACCTACCCGTGTTATACTGTATTATAAAAACAATAAAGTCCTGCAGGTTCTTAGAAGAAACAAGACAACATAAGTAATTTTTTACACAATTTATTGTTGGATGTTTTTTTTAAAAAAAAGCAAACTCCAGCCCCTCACTCAAGGAAAAAAAACAAAGTGACAATTGAGAATTTCATTGAGCATAGACGCTTTGACAATTTCCTCTGTGAAAATAATATGAAAACTTTTACTGTAGTTATCAATGCTCACTTGTTTATATGTAAATGTTCTAGATTGTTCAAATGAACTTTTAAATATTCATAATCTGTATATATTCCACAACCAAAATACTACTGTTTATTATGGAGACTCTGTTTACTAGACTGCTCACTATTGCATAGTATGTTGGGTTTTTTAAAAATTCTGGTACAGTTTGTATTTCAAAATATGTTTAAGACTTTCCGCCACTTCATTTTGTGCGGCTGTAACAATTTTCTGATCAGATTGGGATTTTCTTTTCCTTCGGTTTATCTCTGTTTCTGGACAAACCATGTTGAGAGGAGGACTGGATTGTGTGATTGTTGTAATTGTTGTCTTGAGGAGTAGAGGCAATTAGATGTGTGGGCGTGGGGTAGCTTGGGAAGAAAACATCCCCTTAAATCAGTTAGTTTTCTACAGAAGAACAGATGATGTTCCACTGTCTCTGAGGGGTAGTCACATAGTGGGCAGGCAGCAGACTGCTTTACTCCAATTCGGTTGAGGGGTACATGTTGTGTTCTAAGTTGGAAGATTATGGATTGATCTCCCCTCCTCAACTCATTGATTGGATCTTTGACCAGTGGTTTATTCATGTGGCCATACATCCTCCTTCCTGTCGTACCTTGGCCCAATCATTCATCCACTCTTCCTTGAGGTTTGACTTGATCATTTGGCAGCAGGTGGTGTAATTCGTAGGAATTTCAGGCTGAGGGAGGCTAGCTCCTTTCTTTGCCAGAGCATCAGCTCTTTCATTTCCTGGTATGCCAGTGTGGGCAGGAATCCATTGTAGGACTACTCTGACGTGGTGCCTACTTATCAAATTATGTAGACTCTGTATACATTCCACAACCGTAATACTACCGTTTATTAAGGAGACTCTGTTTACTAGACTGCCCACTATTGCATAGTATATGTTGGGTTTTTTTTTAATTCTTGTACAGTTTGTATTTCAAAATATGTTTAATACTTTCCGCCACTTCATTTTGTGCGGCTGTAACAATTTTCTGATCAGATTGGGATTTTCTTTTCCTTCGGTTTATCTCTGTTTCTGGACAAACCATGTTGAGAGGAGGACTGGATTGTGTGATTGTTGTAATTGTTGTCTTGAGGAGTAGAGGCAATTAGATGTGTGGGCGTGGGGTAGCTTGGGAAGAAAACATCCCCTTAAATCAGTTAGTTTTCTACAGAAGAACAGATGATGTTCCACTGTCTCTGAGGGGTAGTCACATAGTGGGCAGGCAGCAGACTGCTTTACTCCAATTCGGTTGAGGGGTACATGTTGTGTTCTAAGTTGGAAGATTATGGATTGATCTCCCCTCCTCAACTCATTGATTGGATCTTTGACCAGTGGTTTATTCATGTGGCCATACATCCTCCTTCCTGTCGTACCTTGGCCCAATCATTCATCCACTCTTCCTTGAGGTTTGACTTGATCATTTGGCAGCAGGTGGTGTAATTCGTAGGAATTTCAGGCTGAGGGAGGCTAGCTCCTTTCTTTGCCAGAGCATCAGCTCTTTCATTTCCTGGTATGCCAGTGTGGGCAGGAATCCATTGTAGGACTACTCTGACGTGGTGCCTACTTATCAAATTATGTAGACTCTGTATACATTCCACAACCGTAATACTACCGTTTATTAAGGAGACTCTGTTTACTAGACTGCCCACTATTGCATAGTATATGTTGGGTTTTTTTTTAATTCTTGTACAGTTTGTATTTCAAAATATGTTTAATACTTTCCGCCACTTCATTTTGTGCGGCTGTAACAATTTTCTGATCAGATTGGGATTTTCTTTTCCTTCGGTTTATCTCTGTTTATGGACAAACCATGTTGAGAGGAGGACTGGATTGTGTGATTTCTTCTGTTCGTGATAAATACTTAACCCTATCCGTACACCTGGGGTCATTTTGTTCCCCCGGGGTTGTATTCTTCACATTATAGAATACTTCTAGTACTAAGATCTCTTTGAAACTTTCAGTATTTCTCAAAAAAATCATTTTGACAGACTGCTATGCAAAGCGTACGGGTCGGATTAACGAGTAAATTTCCTCTTTGGAAAGAGGTGGCACAGAGTTCCCCACGTCATATGGATACGATAATAAAACACCACGTACGGATAGGGTAAAGTGGTGGCACAGAGTTCCCCACGTCATATGGATACGATAGTAAAATACGACGTACGGATAGGGTTCAGTGGTGGCACAGAGTTCCCCACGTCGTATGGATACGATAGTAAAACACAATGTACGGATAGGGTTAAAAAAGTGGAGTTCAGTTGTGGCGTTTCCAGCCTTGGCATTGAGAACTTGATCAAGTGGAGTCAAGTAAGTGGGAAAATGTCTTGTAGAGCAAGTGGGAAAATGTCTTGTAGAGCAAGTGGGAAAATGTCTTGTGGAGTAAGTGGGAAAATGTCTTGTAGAGCAAGTGGGAAAATGTCTTAAGTTATATGTCACAATGTCATGGAATCAAGTGCTCGTCAATTTTTGGTCATATTATAGGGTTATTCATATCTTCTTAAAGCCTGTTCATTTGCCTTCCGTTTGGTGAAAAAATTATCCATCTATGCTGAATAGAAGTCGAAATATTTGTGATTGAAGGATGTCAGGGTTGCCTGGTTTTAGAGGTCAAATTAGCTAGAAAATGGCCGCTTAAGTTTGGTAACTTCCATAGCCTGGAGTACCTGAAAACTGAAAATTTTCTTTTTTCTTGTGCCTTTAATCAATGTTTTTCAGTATAATCCACACTAAAATGTGTTTTTAAAAGGACAAGAAAAGGTGTTGAGCCATTTTTACAAAATTGGAAAATAATTGCCCATAGGTACAAAAAAAGCAGATTTCTTTGATTTAATTATTTTGACGAGCGCCTGATTTTTTCACCACGATGCCTCACACATTCACCAGGCTACCACTCCTATATGGACAGGCTGCTGGACTCACAGCTGTAGGGTTGCTGGTTCAAATCCCAGCCTGGTGGTGATGTATGTTTACAGTTTTAGTAAGATATTACACCGCTCACAACTACATAAGGACATATGAGCGCCATAGGCTGGATGTCAACAGAGAAGTCCAAACGGGGAATCAGGCTTACTCTGCTCACCTCTCTCGCATCAACAGCACAAAGGGTGGTGATGTTGTGTCACTTAGAAAAACTCCTTGCAAAAATTTTTCATACTGTGTATTGTGACGTTTAGAAAACACTTTGCCAGAATTTTTTTTTACACACATGCATTTCATTTTGTTGTTTAGAAAAAGAAAATGTTGCATAAATTTGTGATATTTCATCAATGTGAAAATAAGTATCCAGGTATGACAGTAAAAGATCTTCTCAGTTCTCAGTGTATCACGGCATGGTCTGGGCGCTGGTACATTGGCAGCTTCCTCTGATTCTTCCCAGGGAGCTGGAAATGTTTTGGGTCTTTTGGGGTTTTTTTATAGTAGAGGGTTTCACGAAGCTCGCAACTGCATAAAGTCATATGAGTGCCAAGGGATGGGTGTCAACAGAGAAGTCTGTACAGGGAATCAGACTTAGACCGCTCACCTCTCTAGCTTCAATAGCACAAAGTCTGCTTCGACTATCAAGGCACCCCGGAAATAGCGGGTCACAAGAGTGTAACAAACATACAAAAGAAGTAGAGGAAAAAGACAATAGTAAGGATCAGGAAAGAAAAGCAGCAGTTCCCTGTTGTAGGTCAGGCACAGTTATGAGTGTGACATGAATCAGCCCATTTACAATTCTACTATGCTTGAACGAGAAATGTCCCCCCTTTGGGAATGGCCTAAAGACACTTCAGTCAGTGGCACTGTCCCGGGGGGATGGACATGTTTGGTTATTTCATAGCGTGTGTTTGGGTGATGATAAATAAATGTAAAATATGCTGACACTCTTTTTCTGTGACCCATTTTCAAGAAGAATGCTTTGATTTTTTACTCTTTTATCTTAGCCAAAAGGCTGAGAAGCAATGAATGCTTTGAAGATTAAATATAATTGTTAAATGTTCACAAACACTTTGAGCAATTCTGATAACATT